CCCCACGGGGAAGAATGCAAGGCCTCACAGAAGATGTTTGGTTTACGGAAAAGAGAGCCAAATGAGAGATACGCAGTACTGGTGTGGTGAAGTGAGACAGCGCTGTGTATAGTAGAATGCTTCAATGCGTACCATACTCCGTTTACGAGATACAGGGCGCTCATATTATAAGGCAAGGTTATAAAACCATCTTTTAAGATCATTTTAGTGAAAGTTTCATGCTTCAAAGCGTACCATTCACTGCTCAAATTCTAAACAAACTGCTTCCATTGCCGAGATACCGGCTGCTCATATTATAAGGTAAGGTTATAAAACCACCTTTTTAGATCATTTTAGTGAAAGTTTCATGTTCCTATCTCATAGAATTTAAGAACAATGATGAATAAATCATTTTCGAGCAAAATTTAAATGGCCGGCTGAATATATTACCGCAGGAGAGGCGGCCGCAGAATTTAAATCACCGCGCGAAAGGGTTAATGAACATCAAAGATAATTTCTATTTGTACATATAGATGGAGGATCTTACTTTCATAGCTCTGCGTTTCACAGCAACTGATGCACTGCTGGCTGCAGGGCACCTACAAATTTTGCCAATGAATCAGTATGCTTGTGTTCAATAACGTTTTGAATGAAGTATACAATTCACAAGTCACAGAAGGTGTTGAAAATGCTGTCCCCCTACACATAGACATGCCTTGCACCAGCAGAAGGGGTTGTGATTAACCCTTAAAGGTGTTCTGCCAGAATTTTTACAATTTCCCTATGATTATTTTTTTTAGTTCCCCTTCGTGGGGTTTACTCTTTTAAACTTTGTCCTGCAAAGAACCACAGAAGAAAATACAGGGTTACTACAAATGATTCATTCCATTTCAAAACACAATATTTTCCAAAATATTACACATACAAATATGATTGATACATGAAAAGAACCATAAACTCAACTTCCGATACCACCGCAGAATGCTCTGTTTCTGTGGTGGTTCTTTTCTGTGCTCTGCTCTGAATGCATGCTGCATTGCAATAACAGATGAACATCTCACATATTCCAACACACAGAAACTCTTTTCCAGCTTCATCACCATTTTGTGAGACACTGCACTCACGCTGCCAACTGGTGTATCACGATGCAAACTTGGTGAGTTTGCGGTTCTTTTCATATATAGTCATCTTTGTATGTTTAATACTTCGCAAAATATAGTGTTTTGAAATGGAATGAATCATTTGTAGTAACTCTGTATAAGAATTAAGGTCGGGTGAATGTGCCTGCCAAATACCAATGCTGATATTTCTGTCCCTGAAGGTATCGGACAAAGCCTGCATAGACGTACATGAAATGTGGGCAGTAGCTGAGTCTTGCTGAAACCAGCCATAGTGTCTTTCTGCTTTTGTAACTCGAAAGAATTGTCGGATAATGACCTGTATATATGTTTCACAATTAATTGTTCTGTTAAAGGAATGCTGGTAGAGCAATCATCTTTGCCCTTACAGCATACCAGACTCCAACTTTCATTTAATGGAGCCATACCTCATGGGTTAGATGTTGATTCTGTGAATTCCAGTAGCAATAATTTCTCGTATGTATGTGTCACTACTAGTGAAACCATGCTTCGTCAGAAAAGTATGTCAATTGTGGATCAATCTCATCTTCAATGATA